AGCACTGCCCTCGGCAAAATCCTTCAAGCAATAACAAAGAACTCCCTCCATGCAATCACATTATCCACTTTTATTTATCCACAGAACGCATACTTCTTACGTTATTGTGCTTTGACTATTAACTTTTTGGAAATTAGCAGAGGTAGAAAACACAGCATGTCTAACAGAAAATTCATAACTAACCGAGTTCATAGGAAAATGTCATATAATCCAAGAAGGTTTAAAGATATTCAGTAGGAAAAAAAAGTATGAGATGCAACATTCTTATTTCATACTGATACTGTAAACTTGTCTTTTATTATACAAAACAACAAAGAAGGACAACATAAAGGGCTGGTAAATTTGTTGGCATGCATGCATCTAAAGCTTCATTTTTTCTTGCAGTTTACATGAGCAATCAAATTAGTCTACTGGTCTGAAAAGACAGGCAAACATGTCCACTGGCACTGGTTTACCCAAAAAATAGTACCTTAAAGCTAATTAATATGATAGCTATCAATGAGTACATACAATTGCTGCCATAAGTATGCCAGCATGCTTCTGATTAGATGGGTATCTTCTCAAACACAATTTAATAGAATTTATATAAAATGGGTTCTGCAAAAGCTAAAGAGCTATAAAAATTATCTTATTCTTCCAAAACTGAGTCCTCTTTCAGATTCATATAATCTATAGCTGCAGACTTTTCCATCTCATCCCATGGGAAAAAAAAAAAAGGAATTCTATAGTTACCAAAAGCCAAAAAAACCCCACCAAAAACAAAACCACGAAAACCCCCAAAACATCAAATACACACCAAGACCACTTAACTTGATGCTCTATGCTGTATTATTTGCGGTTTTTGCAGGCAAAATATTCCTTGGAAGGGCCCAAGTTACTGTAAGACCTAATTTTCCACCATCCATTATCTGAAATTGTCAGAAAACCAAAGGCTGAAACTGCCTCTGGACTCTTCCCCAGCTGAATGAAAGGTTTATCAGTGGTATCACTGGAATGGAGATTTCATCATAAATCCTGTGTGACTTCAGGGTGTGTAGATTAATAAAGGCACATCATATACTGCAAAATTACAGAGCCTTGACAAGGAACAGCCAAATTCTCTTAGAGAACTCTGGACAGATGGCAGGATTTGACTATCACTAAATCAGCTTAGTCAAATACATTACTAGTTCTCCAGCTCAATATTTGCTGTGTATTCCCAATGAAACTGCTGAATGAAAAGGGCAATGTGTCAAGCTTATATAGCAAGTAAACATCAGAAATCCATTTTTCTCCAAGATCAAGCTCCTCCTGATGTGCTAGAAACTTATACAAATTACAAAAAAACCCAAGCTTCTCTTGAAAAAGATGCTCATTACAAAACACTGAAGATCAAAACCTAAACTCTACTATTTTTGTGCATTTGCTATTTAATTAAGTGTCTGTTAAGCTGCTTCTTTGCAACTATGGAGTATTTGAGGAAAATCAGGAGGTCAGACTGATTGCCACAGAACCCCCACATCAATGAACAAGCATAATGGGCTTTCAGGTATCTAAAATAACAGGTCCCTTGAAGGCTGGAGTGCAGCTTCTCTTTGAGATAATTCCATCAGCAAGGGATGAGTGCTTCACTTATCAGAACTGCCACATAATGCTCAAGCACAAATTAACGCTTGCAAGAAAAGATGCATGATTCTGCTTTGGTTTCTAGAAGGCAATTCTGAACTCTTGTTAATTTTCCTCTTAAAAGCACAAGGAATTGAAAGCTTTCTTAGAATTACCAGATTTGTAACCAAGCATTCACAGAGAAATGTATTTTTTCAGTACATAATGAAAACTAATTTGGATGGAAATCATATGCATTCGTATTTTGCTAAAAGAAATTATTTTCAAACATCTTTGCCTGTCCTCTGTGCAGTGACATTTCTTCTCCCTTTTCACCATAAGGTTAATACTCAGGAAGGAGAACAAGGTGATTATTACTGTGCATGACAAGGATTGTTTGCTGCAGCAATTACTCTTCAATCAGAACGTTACTTTTGTTTACACTCAACAAGGATAAAATTATGAACCCTAGATATTACCATATGCTAAATACACATTTTATACCGCTTGAATTATGAGCAGGCAACACACTTTAATACAGGTGTGGCATGGCTTTTAATGCAAAATTATGACACCTCTTTTGAAATCCTAACATTCTGTACTATTAAATAGCTGGTCTCACTTTCATCTGCATGAGACAGGTGGTTAATTTTATTTGCATCAATACACTGAACTAACAGGTATATTCTCATTTGTATGACAGTGAACGCTGTACTCTTATAACCTGTATATTTATTCCCCTGAATTATTATCTAAAATACAGTCAATGCTTCAAGTTTCCAATGAAAAGGTTAATAAAAATTAGTTCCATAGACAAGTACTGTGATTTTCCATGGATGTTAAGATTTTTAATAGTGATACCGAGAGCTCATGAATAGAATTTACATAGACAGTGCACAGTCTCCCCAAAGCATTTCTACAATTGATTCCTTCTGTGATTTGACTCGGACTGAATGGTGTCAAGTAATTTATTCACCATTGTTTGGGACAGGCTATTTAATTCCCTTCTGACTCTTAAACAACGTGAGAGGTTGCGTGTCTCTCTGTGTTAGTGCACGGCCTGGTTAATCACACACAACAGGCCTGTGCTCACTTAGGTGGGTCTTTTCAAATAGATGGCAATTAAACCCTCCTACATATGAATCACTTTGCATTCACAGAATACTTTCTATATGAGCACTAAATATTTACAAATGAGGCTGGAATATTTTATATAATTTCTCCACCTCAGCTGAGATGACCAAAGAGCGCTATCATTATGTACATAACAGAGTTATAGGCAGGTGCAGATTAAACAAGGTCACCTTATTCCTTACTCCCATCCTCCCGTTGTGGCTATGGCACCTGGACTCTGAACCTGACATGCTGCTCATATTGCTGGCTTGAAATAAAACGTGTCCCAATTCTGGGTAGTTTACAGGATGTTTTGTAAAAGAAAGTTATGACTGTTACTTGTTAAGATTTTAAGAAGTTTCCCACATATCCTAGTCTGTTCATTTAGGCCACACTCTCTTCCACAGGAATAAAAAAAGTGAGATGAGCTGTGTCTGCTGAATTCCTAGTTCTGAAAAACAAAATCATCAACTTAAAGTCTAACACTGCAACCTCAAAGGAATTTTGGAGGAGGAAAAAGCCATGGACTCCTTCACAGCCTCCTTCAAAATGACAAAGAGAAGAGTCAATATGCTAATGGTCACAGCGCTGCTTATTAGAGACATTTTAAAATAAAGCCTTTGTCTCATGGGAAGCTCCAATCTGCTTTTCAAATACCAACAAATATACTTTTAGCAGATCAAAATTAGAAAACTCTTTTCCCATGGAAGATGAAATATAGCATATCAGACTGACTCTTACTAGACATTTTCATTTGAAGCAAAAAACATTTCTACTTTCCCAAAATGAAGTATTTTATGTTTTCTTTAAAACATTTTAACAGTGGTTTATTATCTGTGTTTTTAGTGTTAGGACCTTTGATCACCTTCCTTTTAAAAAACACAAAGCAAAATTGTAAACATATTTACTATGCAAAGCATATGGCACACTATATTATAATTTATAAACAAAGTACCAGATTTGTGAACTGAGATTTTGCAAATCCTGAAACAAATGCAGGATGCATTTGTTTAAACCAAACCACACAATGCAATAAAACGTGCCTAGTTCAAATTTCTGTACTTCCATCTGTTATGAATTACTCCTTACACTATCCTGCAGAAAGAATATTTCTGGTTTTATTATTATTATTCTTATTAATACTTGAAAAAACCTGGATAGCCTTAGCATTTTACCATTTGTAGTTGAATTAGCTGGCCTTTCATTTTGTCTTTATAACCAGCCATCATAATGCACAGTTTATCTATGAATAAACCACTTGGTAATAGTACTTTGTCACCTTCACATATATTATTGATGAGAAAGCTGACAAGCCGGCAATTACGATGCTCCACCACTTGTCCCATCTCCAGGCTCAGCCTTAGGTACCGATGGAACAGCTGAAGTGAAAACTCAGTTTTACATTTCAAAGAAAGTGCAAAGGCAGTGAGAAAAGGCTGCCCTGCAAAGGACACAGAAATTGTATTCATTGCTGGAAAAGTTTATTTGAGTAGACTATATTATTTACTCTGTATGATAATAAAGGTTAGACTGTGAGTCCACATCTTGTTCAGCTAGATGTTCCACTTAGTTTTGCATTCAGTCTTGGATTAAATCTATGATTCTGACATATAAAACAGTTACAACACTAATCAGAATTTAGTATCAAAAAACACAGATTCAAATAACGGTCAAGATATAAATCAAGCAGATTTTAATGGATTTGTGTTTCTATTGTTCCACCGGCAAGACATACAACAGTATTTCTTGGACTCCAAAACATTGCCAAGTGATAAATTAAAGGTCATATCAAAAGTATCTGAAATCAGGATGCTCTAAAATGAGCAAACAATCCTGAGATCATTTGTATTCTCTGTTTCCATCCAAATTCTCAGGTTGCCAAAAATCACCAAGCCATTCCATAAACAGTAAGTATTTATTCCATGTTCAATTAGTCCTTTCTAAAGTAAGTATAACACAATAATTTATCCAACAGAAATTACCTACATTAAACATTCTTTAACATACACATATGTTTTAAAGAGATTAATATCAAATGGGATTACACGGGCTGCATTGCAAATCTTAAAATCTTGGTTTTGAAATACCACACAGCCTTTCTTTCCTGTATTTTTGAACATGATACTAAATATCCCATGTTAAGACACACTTATCAGCTTGCTAATGAAAGTCATAAATACAATAAACAATACAACTTTGCAATGATAACTCCACACTGTAAGTACACTACATCTACAGTATAAGTTAATGAAAAGAGCTGAGCTAAATCAATGCTAACAGAGAACATAAAATACTTCTCTTACCTCCATTTCTGTGCAGTGTAAACGGCCTGATTTATCTGTAAGAGAAAAAAAAAGTTTTCAGATAAAGTACGAGACAATGAGAACGAAACTAAAAAGTTGAGTCACTTCTCTTTTTTGAGTAATTGCCAAGTATTCCTTGTCTTACTTGAATCACACATTTCAATAATGTTTTTATTCTTTATGCATCATGGTTAACAACAAGAAGGCCCTACCCTTTTTATTTGGATCCTTTATAATACTGGCTTTTTAAAAGATGTGTCTTTGATGCCTGGCTTCATTATTTAAATTGTATGATTGATGTTTGGCCATGGAGGGAACATGAAAATATGTTGGCTTAAATTAAGCAGTAACAAATAGTTATTTTGAGAGAATAACCAGCATTAATTCATAAACTAGGGAAAAGCCACTGTTCCATCTGATACTTCTGGGATTTCAAAGAGTTCAACAGAAATGAGAAGTTCAAGCAAATTAAAGTTAAAACATTACTGTGCTATTTTTGTAAGTCCCACTTGTCAATTTTTGCATTTCTTCCGAGTTCAGAAACATCACTTTGGAATTTGTATAACAAAGAAAAATTAAGTTTCTGAACTGTTTCATTAAATTGAAATCTCAATTTTCTGAATCACAAAACAGTTTTATACCAAAGTGGCTTGGCAGCTTAACAAAACAAAGACCGAAATTTCACAGCACATTAGAAAAGTATAATTTCACTAAAAGCAGCAAGTTTATAATTTTGTATCCTTATCAGAATAGGGTATCAGAATATCAGAAGGAATCCTGACAGGATGATTTCCTGCTGGAAAAAATTTATTCAAAAAAAGTTAATTGTTCCACAGAAATCTATCCATTTGAAAGGGGATCTACCCAAAACTTTAATTTCAAAACAGAGATATCAAATTTTACATTTTTTTTGTCCTAGCTTCATTGCATTCACACTGCTGGTTTAGAATTTGCAGCTTTGGAACCAATTGCTCAGAGCCTACAGAAGACATGATTCTGAGACCTCACACACTCAAAACCAAGAACAGGATGCATCTGCTTGACTGTGCGTACTCTAAGAGCACATGTTCAGGTAATGATTAGGAGGGATTTACTGCAATAGTTTGGAAATAGTTTGTGATTTGTACCCATAACTGGAAGGACTATTTTATCAGACTGGCTGACTAGCCCAAGGAAGCTCAACCAACTGGCTGGCAAAATATTCACACAGAGAAGTGATCGCACTGACTTCATATGACAAATGTGAACGGCATGCAAAACACTCAGCTCTGGGAAGAGTCACCTGCATAGAAAAAACCTCATTTTTCATACTGAACTAGTCACCTTCCTTTGAAACTAAAGGTTAAACACATCGTGAACGAGTAGGGAACACCCACCTAACAGTGTGAAAGTTGTTTGCTTTCCTTTTCAACTGTTGCCAAAGCAAGCTAATGCTTAGCACTGGTGTCTGACTTCAAAACTAAGAGCAGAAGAGTGACTTAAAAAGGCTTTTGCTTCTCATATTATCTTTTTTAAAAGGACTGGTACCTCTGGTTCATTCACTTTCAGATCCACATAATAGATTTTTTGGTGTTTAAAATGGTAACAGTCACGTGATTATTACAAACTATAAATAGGAGAAATTTATTGAGAATGTTTTTTTAACTCCTAGGATTATAGCAGATTTATTAATATTATGAGCTACTTTTGTGAAATCAATTGACAGGTGACCAAAACAATGTATCTTTATGATAGAAGATTAATTCAGAGAAATGTAGTCAAGATAGGGGAAGAAAAAAGCACATACTGTCTTTAAAAAGACATTACCTTTTTTAAAAAAAATTACTACTTCATTGTATATTGCAGTGCATACAGTAGGCCACCAATGTTTGCAATCACTGATAGTTTAAAATATCTGGACTTGCATCTCCTATGGTCTAAGGGAAGAAGAGCCAAGCTGTCTACTAGATCCTCTGAGTAGCACCAAGTACTCATTGCTGCACCTCACAACAGTGCTGAGATCTTATGAACATCCTTTTAGCAGAAATCCCAAACAAGTCCTGAAGCACAGGAAACCAATAAATCAGCCCAGACCAAAACAAGAAAGATAAAATCTGAATTTCTAAGAGTAACAGCTCCAATCTTGCAGCTCCTTTGATAAACTTGCATGAAAGCTGTTCCTCAAAGAAAAGCACTCAAACTCAGGAGTGTTTTTTATTATTAAACTCAACTATTTATTCCTATTTACACCAGCATTTTAAAACCCAGTAGTACTGTCATGAGTACATGTGCTGGGGCAGGAAGGGGGAATAACAAGTCTTTCATGCACCCAGACTGCTGCAAGTGACTGACTTACAACATTTTAATATACACTGTATTATGGTAATTATTAACCATTCCATATGCCTCTGTAGCCTGAGACCAGCTACAACTTAGCAGATTTCCCAAAGCTCTTTGCAGCCACTTGTGGACTCCCTCCACTGGGAATTTACTGCATTTGTGAAGAGATCATTAACAATACTGTTGATGCACTCACATCTATCAAGACTGAAATGAATTTGCTAAATTTATATGGCTCCTGCAAGCCAATTTATTTATACTGGCTTTATCTATACTGGCTGAGAGTAGAAATTTCTTCTCTCTTCAGTTGACATGATTGAAAAAGCAGTAACTCATAACTGTAGCCTAAGGGTCACACTCCCTTCATTAGCACTGAAAAAAAAACCTCCCCATAAGTCATAGAACAGTCTGTGTCTGCCATCAGAATGCAGTGCTTCTCTGGTAAACAGGTGATGCCTTAAAAAACTATTTCAGCTGCTGATTCTTAACATAAATGCAGACTTTTCCAGACTTCAAAACCATTCAACTAGATATTCATCTGTGCAGCATTTTTACCATTCCTACTGCCAAAATATATTCAACAGTAATTTACCATAACAGATTTCAAATAGAAGCTAATGCATTCATTACTAGTAAACAGCATAACTGTCAACTTCAGTTTATAAACAAACTACAGTTTGGAAAATTAGATAATTTTTCACTCTCAGCTTGTTGAAATGTAAAAAGTGAACAGTTTTTGAAAGAAGGAAAGTGACTTACATTGGAGGTTTCCTGTATTTCTAAAAACAGTCTTCAGAGAGACACATTTGACAGAAAAAAAATAAAATAAAAGAAACCCCAAACCTTCACATGCATTTTTTTGTTCTTCAAAATTTCTATCTGAAAAGTATTCTTCTGTCAAACTCTCAGCAAGAGGAGTCATGACAAACTTTCCTCAAGCACTAGGGAAGACTGTCTCAATCCCTTAAGGCAGGAGCTCCCTGTACTCCTTCCAATGGTAAGGACTATACCTCTAAGACTGAGTTTTAAAAGCAAAATAGATAACTCAGTATGTTAGAATGGACTGACCCAGGTATTTGTAGGACAGCACATGGGATATGCCAACTCATCTGCACTCCTCTATCTGAAGAAAAATCAAGCTACAGAATTGACTCTAGTGATGTGACACCACAATCAGCCAGCCACCATTTCAGCTCTATTCAGCTGGTCTAAGAGCCCTGCAGCTCAGAGCATCTCCCTAGCCTTCCTCTAATGTCTCAGACTCCTCTGCTCACATCCACAATCAGTTCCTTCAAGACAGCTTCTTCCAGAATTGAAATGATAAACACTGATTTTTCTGGCCACAGTGTGGCTGATGCACACATTGGCAACAAACCTGAAACTCATTTTATGTCAAAGATTAATATTATAATTAAATGTCACAGCCTACTTCTGCAAGTCTAGAGTGAAAACAAGCTGCTGTTGCTACAACAGAACTCAAGTTGCCTGCAGGAATGACAGACACTGCCTGTACGTACCAAAGGACAAAAGTGGAAGAAGAGGATGAAGAAGGAACATAAGGGCTAACCTAGGGAAAGGGGGCAAGGAAGAACATGAGAGTCACTAACTCAAGTTCCTTGAGTTGAATGGTCTTTAGTCACACCCCTCAAATTAACAGTAAACTGAATTTGTATTTGCTTTCTAGCTTTTACATCTTCAAGAGCTTTTCTTTGCCCTTAAGAGAATGAGGACTCCTCAAGTAAAAAAATTAAAATTATAAAATTTTAGACTCACATTTAAACATCCAGAAACTGGAGTTTTGGTAACTGGAGATTTGGTGACTAATCTGAAACCGGTCAGATAAGTTACCAAAAACGAAAAGTTCATCAATACAAGAGTTAAGATGAGCACCAATAAAAGGAAAGGGAATGAAAGAAGAAAGCAGAGGCAATCATGCCACAGAAGGAAAAGAGATAAATATGCAAAGAATGGGATTTGTAATTAAATGGAGATGAAAATACCGATGTAGCAGAAGTGAACCAAGCTGAAGACAGACAGTGAAAACTTGTATGATAAAAAGAAACAGGAAAAAAAAACAAGTGAAAAAGATAAAGACAAATACAGGCAAAGGACATCTTAGAAGTAAGACACATCAAGATGCAGGGAAAAAGGTCAAAAAGAGTGAGAACATGAGGAAGTGGAAGGAAGCAGACTGGATTAGGAGAGGTAACCAGAGACCCTCTCAGAGCAGGAAGCACAGAGACCCAAGTTCTGTTCTCAAGAAAAATACTTAGGCTTTGAGGATCAACATATCCTTCCTTTAAACTGTAATTAGAAGGTAACAAGAAATGGGATGACGTTTTAGAGCTTGTGGCTTTTTGGATATGACTCATGATTTCTGTATCAGACTACAACTGATGACTTCTTAATTATATGCCTCATTTTTCTGCATAGGAAAGAGAAAACTAAAAATTTTAAGAGAATACAAGGAAAATTCTTAGAGAGGTTTCTAGACCAATGGCAATCAGGACTTTCTTTCCCTGTGCAAATTTTTTCATGCCTTCTGTTTTCTCCATTGACGTTACTCTCCATTTTTAACAGTAATAAGCAATTTTTGTCCATTGCACAAAGCAAAGATAATGACTAAGAGGTCTTCTGTATTAATACCCTGTTAAATCTTGTAATAAAAATATTTTAAATTTCAAATTAACAAATCCATGTTACCTTAGCGCTACTT